CTCCAAGCATTTGGATTTGTCATTAGAGTGAGACTCTCTCATTGGACAAGAAGTTGAATGTGTTGGAGAGGCAAAGAGTTTGTTGGTTCTACTAAGGGATTGAATAACTGCTAAAGAGGAGGTTAATTAGGACAATGAGATAAAACAAAAAAGAGAAATATATATTAAACAATATATATTTATTTTAAAATAAAATATATATGTCCTACACAGACTACTAAATTAGTTTGTTCTTTTTTATTAAGCGAATCAACCTAAGTAATTGATTCCATACTCAATCGATCCAACTTGCAATGTAGTTCAATTTTCAAAATAGACAAAAATTAAAGATGATATCTTAAGTATTATTAATACTGTTTTCTAACTAGAATTAACATTTCATCTTTATAATTTATATAATAAAAATTAATATAAATTGCACATATTATTAAAATAAAATTTAAATTATGATAGAAAAATAATATTAACAAAACTTGTAATATTATACTTAAATTTTGTTTTTTAAAAGTGGGTAAATGTAACATTTATATAATTATATAAGATTTTTATTTCTGTATTAAATTAGATTATTTAATTATTTATTTTTGGTTTATTAATTTAAATATGGGATATAAAAATGATAATTATGTTAATATGTCATTTGTGGCAATTTTACGAAAATATGAATTCTTTAAAACTCGCAAGTGACGATTTTTGCTTGATCAACAGTAGACTATTCTCCAAATGTCATGAATAGTAAATTTGAAACATTGATAGGAGCAGTACATTTGAAACATTGACGGGAGCGCGGCCTTGCAGTGAAGAGTTTTGACAAATTTGCATTAAGAACGTGGCCTTAATGAAAAACCGCCAGTGGCAAGTTTTGACATATTTGCTGGCCATTTGTCAGAAAAAAGTAAAACGTGAATGCTGAACATAAATTTTGCAGAGTGAAAAATTGCCAATGGCGATTTTTGAAGGAATCTCTGGCATTGTCAATTGCACTAGAGTTTGAATAAATTTTTTTAAAGTGAGAAACTCGGCCCTAGAGCTATATAATGACCCTTTCAGTCATAAATTCATGCACAAAGAGAATGTAGAAGAGAGAAACTAAGGTGGAAGAGAGAAGAGGGAACTGAAGAAGAAGAAGAAGAAGAAGCACATCTCAAAATTATAGATTAACAAATTTCTTTAATATGATTCGTGATACAACTATGGATTCACAGAAGCACATCTCAAAATTAGTAAGAGCTCAAAATGTAAGTAATGTTTATGATTTATGTTATTAAAAATATAATTTTCTAATTATGGCTAGTTATTAAATATTAGTATTTAGTGATTAAATATTTTAAAATATGATAATTTAAATAATGTATTTAATGATTAATTATTTTTTTATGTCAGGTAATGAGACTATTACGATCTCATCACTTGGCTATATCACCGTCTATACCTGAGATATATGACATTTTACAGAATGCTGGACTTTATCGTGTTGCACAAATATGTCAAATGCATATAAATGGTGGGCTTGTAAATGCACTTGTTGAACGTTGGAGACTAGAAACACATACATTTTAACTTCCTTGTGGAGAATGCACAGTAACATTAGAAGATGTTGCTATGTTGCTTGGACTTCAAATCAATGGTCTACCTGGTAGTGGTTCTACTAATCCGAATACTATAGCATTGTAGGATATGTGTGAGCAGTTACTAAGTAGTCGGCCTGGATTTCACAATGTTGAAGGTTCAAAAATAAGATTGAAGTGGATCACACAACATTTTGGTTGGCTTCCTACAAATTCTGACCATAGGATAACACAACATGCTCGTGGATACATACTTTCTTTGTTGGGACATGTTCTAATGCCGAATAAAAGTAATTCAGTAGTCCATGAAAAATTCTTACAGTTGTTGGTGAATGTTGATGAAATTGGAATATATAGTTGGGGTTCAGCATGCCTTGCCTTTTTGTATAGAGGTCTAGATCGTGGTTCACGACAAGATGCTAAAGAAATTTGTGGATACCTAATACTGCTACAGGTATAGGCATAGCACCGGCTCCCATGGTTTGCTCCAATACCTGGTGAACCAATGATATTTCCACTTGCACTTAGATGGCGACACATTCGATATCCAACCAACACTCCATATAGAGACCTTGGAAATGTTAGAGTGTCATTAGATAAAATGGGACTTGTGAGGTATCAGTTAATATATGTCAATTGTTGTTAAATAATTTTGTACCTCTTTCACATTACTAAGGTATATATAATGTATTTTGTGTTAATGTAGTTTTTATAGCGACCATATGAGGATGAAGCTATTGACGCATTTATTCCAGATGACGTGAGAGGCGAACGTCTATTGTGGTCAACTGTAAGCCCATTGATATGCTTTGAGATTGTAGAGTGGCATGAAGCTGACGATGTAATGCGTCAATATGGATTTGCTCAGCCTATTCCTCTTTCATCCCAAAGTCTTGAGAGAGTCCACAACAAAGACTTGCGTGGTTTAAGAGAACCAAAAAATTGGAGATTAATACATGATGATTGGGTGACAATGTGAAAAAATCGACATCATCATACATTAGAAGGAATGTTGATCAATCCACATTTTACTAAATTTTTATACATCATTTATTACTTTTTATAGAAAAGAATAGACTTAGATAGTGTAAATAAGATGAATATTCCAATTAGGCTAAATAATATAGATTTCTTAGTTTTTGGTTAATTTACATTAATTTAGATAGTTTATTTTACATGTTTTGATCATTTGAATAAAGTGGCAGGAATCCCCAAGCTTATTTTGAAGAATTATTAGATTTTGAGGAATTTGAGGTGAAAGTAACTACTTTCAAGATTGATAGTAACCACTACAGCAAGCTACTTCCAGCAAAGGGAATAAAGTGTTCACTTTCAAAGTTAAAAGTGACGACTACAACAACCCAGAATCCAGTAAGCCTGCGCGTGGCTACTATGAAAGTTCATAGTAGTTACTCCAGAGCGTGCAGAATTGAAGGTGTTACACGTAGCTACTATCAAAGTTCATAGTAGTCACTTCAGAGAGCCCAAAATGTATCAGTGCTACGCTTGCCTACTATCAAAGTTGATAGTGGACACTATAGAAAGGCAAAAACCAACTGATGTTCCGCATGTCTACTATGAAAGAATGAAAGTAATCACTTTGAAGGGCGCCAGCCTTAGTATAAATAGATTTTTTTCAAATTAGGGTAAAGAGCTCTTACACTTTTCGTACTTTTTCTCTTCTTTACTAAATTAGGACATTTTCCAAAGCTTAGGGCAACCTTGGGTGACAGCCAATGGTCTAATCTAGGGTTTAGTTTCTCATTTCTCTTGCCTTTACATTAATGCTAATGAGTTTTCTGCATTTTCAAACTGTGTTTTTGACCCTCATTTCTATGAAAGGCTAAATTTTTGTGTAATCCTTAGTAAGTTCACATGAATTCTTGAGTTCCTTAATTTTAATGATAATATAACTCCTTTCTTTTCATGAATTATTTCTTCCTTGCCTCTTGAATTGAATTAATGGTGAATGAGGGAGACATTGTTTAATTAACCCTAATTCATTTTAAAGAGATTCTAAACTAGGGATTGCTTAATCCTAGGTTTAATTCTAAGGTTGTGTAATCTTACGATGAGGGATTAGAGCCTAACAAATTAACCTAATTCATGGGAGAGAGGATGAGTGTTAAATCTTGAGTGGAATGAGGATAGAATCTATGTGGATGAACTAAGGATTGCTGCTTTCTATTGTTTGAATTAATTAAACTTGTTTGCTTGTTGCTCTTTATATTGATTAAAAACCAGAAAACCTCCCCCCCATTTTAATTGCTTGTTCAATTAATGCCTTCAACATGTTTAATGAAGATTAATAGTCAATGTTCACAGGAGACAATCTGGGTAACTCTAGTACTACATTAATTTGTTTAAATTTTGATGAAGATTTGCGAAAAATCTTTTAAACACATGAAAACGCAATCATCAAATGCCAATTGACAACTATAACCCTTTGAATGAGTATTGGAGTTGGTACACAATCTATGCAATGAATTGGTTTTGGTTGTCCCTGGAGCAGCCACAATCTCAACAACAATAGTGTCTGTTAGAGCAAAATTCCATATCTCCACTCACGCAGTAACAAGGGATTTCACCATCCTCTGTTCAACCAAATAAGGAGTTTTATTGGTCACCGCACACGAACTTGTGACATCCATTTCAATGGGATGAACAACCCCAACCTTCACACATGTCTGTGGATAGAAGAGATATTTGTCGTGGCTCCAAAAGTAGAGGATCACAGGGAAGGAGATTTGTTGATTGTAGTACTGGAAGTGTCACGTCTCATGGGTTTCTATGCATTTATGACTTTGTCGTTGATGATGACACACATTGTCAAGACATTTCTCACATTGGAATTGACCTTAATGAGAATGCAACCATGGAAGAAGCAACTATTGATGAAGAAGTTTATCGACCAGAACTAGTTACTCCAAGCGAACAATGCTCCATATCAATCATGTCTTGGGAAATGACACAACAGACATTTACAGGTGCATCTGCAAATGTGTTGGATGTAGAACCTACATCACATGAAGAAGAGACAAGCGAGGCCATAAATGAGCAGGGTGTGGAGGATGATGGACCTAGTAGAGGCAAACGAAGGGGCTTTTTTTCACGCAAGTTATGTCCGTTTACTCATGCCCCTGATAGATATACCGCATCACTAATCAAGAAGAAAAAGGGAAAATGAGCATGAACACCAATAATTTAGTCTTATAATTAGTATATATAGTTTGAATGTATTTTAAATTCTAAGTTTGTTAATCAATGTTATGTTTGTTATGAATGCAATTTCCATCCATATGTATAATTTAAAAGTAACTAAATATGAGAATTAATAAAGGAACAACAACATCAATAACAATAACACTGCGAACATGAACATGAACATTGAGTACATTAACTTCAACAACATCAACACTACGAACATAAACATCAATACTGTGAACTAGACCCAGGAGCATTTGGACATCTCCTTCGACTGTGGCTTTCACCTCGGCAAAGACTACACCTTCGTGGTCTTCTCATCTCACACATATCCATCTCATTAAGAAAACGTGTTGATTTTGGACGACCTTTAATTATGCGCTTTAAGGTCGGGTTTGGACAAAGTTTTGGACCTTTATATTTTTGCCATGTGTTTTCATTTCCAATCACCCCAAACTCCTTTTTGTATACTTTGCATATCTCAGTGATCTTGTAAATGTCATCAACATAAGCACACCAATCAATATTTTGACTAGAGCAAGCAGCAATCACATGACAACATGGATATCGATCAGTTTGTATGTCAACATAGTCACAATACCTTTGCCTCAAAACAACTTTATATTCTTGACTATTGGATACATCTTGAACAAGAAAAGCCTCATTCTTTCTGTCGAATACAGTCACACACAGATTTCTAGAGGCCTGTTCACATGATTGAACTCGAGTCATCACTGCTTCAGAGAAAATATGTCCAGCCTCTTTCCGTGCACAGGCCTCACGCTCTTTACGTGCAAATAGCTCAGCCAATCGAAAGTATGTTGCTCTAATTAGTGGAAGATTGCGAGCACCCTTTAACACTGAATTAATGCACTCAACAAGGTTAGTGGTCATATGACTCCATCGATGCCCACCGTCATATGCAAGAACCCACTTCTCTCGTAAAATTTCATCAAGCCAGTCTGTATAAATCTCTCCACGTTGCCGTAGTTGCTCATAATAAATATTAAATTCATGTTCCGTTCTCGAATAACCTGCAAAACACCAACCCATCTATATAACCATTGCTAAATCCATACAATATTTGCATATAATTTTAAAAGTACTGAATTCATGTCAATTACCCATATGGACGACAAGTTTATGCAAGTAAGATGCCTTGAATCTTCGCAAAAAATTATCAGCAATGTGTCTGATACAATACATATGGAATGCCTTTGGAGGTTCCCACTGTCCATTACTTCGTCTTATTGTTGCATTAATTGACTTGTGACGATCAGAAATAATACCAATGTCATCTTGCGTCACAACATATTTACGTAAATTATCAAGAAAAAATTGCTAACCATCGGCAGTTTCTCCCTCAACAATAGCAAAGGCAATTGGTAATATATTTTGATTGTCATCTTGTGCAATTGCCACTAATAGAGCTCCTTTGTATTTTTCATATAAATGTGTCCTATCAACCTGCACAAGTGATTTGCAGTGTCTGAATGCTCTAATGCAAGGACCAAAACTCCAAAAAACTCTACGAAATATTTGAACATCAAGAACCTGGTTATCATTGTGATAAGCTTGAACATCATCCAACTGAACAACTGATCCTCGAACAGCATCACACATTGCTATACACCATTGCGGTAGGGCTTCATATGAGGCTTCCCACTGACCAAATATATTTTCAATTGTTTTTTACTTTGCCATCCATGCTTTTCGATATGTTGTTGTGTATCCATATCGAGCTTGAACTTCACTAATCACCAATTTTATCTTAAAAGAAGGGTCAGATTCAATCATTAGCTTAATACATTCTGCAGTTGTCTCTGCATCCAACTTTCTATGATCTTGTGAAATCCTTGCACGAGTACAACTATGTGGCCTGTTATACTTTCTAATTTTCCAAAAATACTTGTTCTTCCTCAAACTAGCTCGAACAAGTCACTCATAATCTATGTCATAACTGACACATTTACAATAAAATGTATTTGATTCAAACTCGAAAACTTTGTAGTACACTCCTTTTGATATACTATAATTCTTAATTTTTCGTATAACGGCTTCTCTGTCATTAAATTGCATTCCAACAAACAATTCTCCGTCTACATCACATTTGTTGAATATCATCATCATTGCTTATTTTCATCACTTGGTATTGCACGAAACCTTCAAAAATAGAGATTGGACACATGTAAATTATTCTCTCCACTGTTTTTGGAGGCTCCACTTCAATATACTGACAAAACCAATATTTAAATGTTTCAAATGATATATTGTAAAAAATATAAATGTAAGTTGACTTCTCACACCTTCACTCGTATTTGAAACAATCTCACCATTAAAATAGACTATTGTATTTACACTCATTTTTTCTTCAACTATAAAATAATGAAGGAAAATTTAGAAATATAGAATAAAATATTTTTAAGATGCAATTCACTAAAAATGCAAATAAATTATATATAGAATTTTTTTTTTTAAATTTACCAAATATATAAAAGTACTTTCTACATTAAAGTTGCCAACATCGAGTTTTAATTACGCAAAAAAATTATTTTTTTATTCTAAAAGTCGTCCGTGGCTTTTTTTTTACGAATAACAAATATAGATTCTTTAAAAATCGCCGCATGCGATTTTTTAAATCCCATATACATGTAATATTAATTCCAAGTCCATATTCTGGAACTTTCACGATCACAATGCCATATTTAAAAAAATGACCCTCTATTTTTCCACTTCCATCACCTCAAAGCACAAGAAATAGCATTTCTGTATCCGATTGTGTTTCTGATAGTTTCTTGAGACGATAAACATTACGAGGCAGCGTCTTCAAAGTTCAAGTGGAAGACGCCTTCTGAAATTGGTGACGGTGACAGAACGTGGCGACCAAGGCTAATAAACTAATCACAAGAAAACAAAATGTGGACAATTCTTAGTCACGCCACACGTAAGAGAATGACACATTTAAAGCCCTCAAAGCAGCACCAAATCCCCACCACCAAATCGTCATCCCTTTCACTAACAACTCTCACTCACTCACACTCAAACCCAATGTTGCCTCCTGCAGGAACTATCGTATTCAACACCGTTGGAAGAGCCCAATACGGTTTCGACGTTTTCTCTGTACACCTTAACAACCACCCTCCGCCTCACGCCGCCACAGAACTCCGCCTTACCGATGCCATCTCCATAAACTTCAACGCCCAGTTCATTAACCATGAAAACGACGTCGTTTTCGTCTCCGAAAGAACCGGAGCGCCCCGTTTCTATCTAACCCGACCCGAAAATAAACCCCAGGCATTACCTTTTATCCCCAACGCTCTCTTCCTCGATCGCCCAATCATTAGAAACGGCAAACTCTACTTTGCTTCCACGCACGAACAGCACGACCAGGTTTTCACCAGCTGGAGCGCGGTTTACTCCGCTGCCGTCGATGACGGCACAACCGTCACGCGTCTCACCCCTCGCGGTGAAGTGGACTACAGCCCCGCCGTGTCCCTCACCGGAAAACTCATCGCTGTCGCTTCCTTCCAGTCTCGCCGCTGGGTCACCGACAAATTCCGCGAACTCCAAACGGAGATCGTCGTTTTTGCCGAGTCAGACCCGGGGAATCGTGTCGTGGTGAGCGAGAGCGGTGGATGGCCAACCTGGTCGCAAGACTCCACGATCTTCTTCCATAGAATCGCCGAAGATGGATGGTGGAGCATCTTTCGGGTCGATTTACCGGATTCGAATATATCCGGGTCAAAAGATTCACCAATTCGAGTCACGCCGCCGGGATTGCATTGCTTCACTCCCGCAGCGTTCCACGACGGCAAGCGCATAGCCGTCGCAACTCGCAGGCGAGAGAGCGATTTTCGGCACATTGAGATCTTTGATCTCGAGTCCCAAACGTTCCAACGGGTCACCCAGTCAATAAACCCTAAGTTTCACCACTACAACCCGTTCGTCTCGTTGGATTCTCGGCGCCTCGGGTACCACCGATTCAGAGGCGAGTCAACTCGTGGAGAGTCCACGTACCCGCACCTCGACCAGGTGGTGTCTCCGGTTCAGGATTTACAGTTATTTAGACTGAACGGTTCGTTCCCAAGTTTCTCTCCCGACGGCGATTTCATTGCTTTCAATCACGATTTCGATGATAACGGCGGCGTTAAGATCGTTAGATCCAACGGTTCTAAACGGTGGACGTTACTAAAAGGACGAACCTGCTTTTACAACGCGTGGAGCCCTGTGGATAAGAACGTGATATTCACCTCCATCGGTCCAATTTTCGAGTCGGTTTCGAAAACGGTTCAACTCGCTAGAATCGAGTTCGACCCGGTTCATCTCACCGACGACCGTGAAGAGGTGCCGTTTAAGTTAAAAATTCTGACTAAAGAGGATACCGGGAACAACGCGTTCCCTTCTTGTTCGCCGGACGGAAAAAGCATTGTGTTTCGGTCTGGGAGGTCGGGACACAAGAATTTGTACATAGTTGACGCCGTTAACGGGGAGTTTAACGGGGGATTACGGAGGTTGACGGAGGGAGGGTGGATCGATACGATGCCGTGTTGGTCACCAAAGGGAGATTTAATAGCGTTTTCGTCGAACAGGCATAACCCTGGGAATAGTGAGGTGTTTGGGATTTATGTGGTGAGGCCTGATGGGAGTGGGTTGAGGAGAGTTGAGGTGGCGAAGGGTGCGGAGGCTGAGAGAGAGAGATTGAACCACGTGTGTTTCAGCGGTGACGGAGAGTGGTTGTTGTTCGCGGCCAATTTGGGGGGTGTGGCGGCGGAGCCTGTGTCGTGGCCCAACCAGTTTCAACCGTATGGGGATTTGTATGTGGTGAGGTTGGATGGAAGTGGGTTGAGGAGGCTGACGTGTAATGCTTATGAAAATGGAACCCCCACGTGGCACCATCTGGACCTGTCCGTGTCTAATGGCCATGGTGATGAATGTGGGGATTGGGATAAGTTGAAGGGTGCGTTTCAAGAACCCCTTTGGATCACTTGTCCCGTTTGAATATGAGGGTTCAAAAACTTCAACTGTTGTAATGTGACATGATTTCTGATGGTGAGTGTTTGCTGATAAATAAGGTTTTTGAATAAAATTCTGATATGTATTTCATAATAAATAATTTTAGCATTTCATTTCAAATCTAGTGATAAGATAATTTGTTCAAATAAGACGATCTTTGATAATTTTTCATCATTTAATTATTTTCAAAAAGCACCACTTTTATTATTATTGTTATTATTATCTTACATTTGTTAGCTTTTGTTTTATTATCGTGAGATTAATTCAAAATTCGTTATTTAATTCCAATCCGAAATTTGTGTCATGTCAAAATATAATGTTGAAGCCAAAATGGTACTGGTTTAAGCAATTAATTTGTTTCTTTTTCACCAAATTTTTATTGTTGTTAAATTTTTAGTTTCCATTATTAATATCATTTAATGAAAATCTGTTACTTTTTCTTAGCAAAAAAAAGTTATTTTCATTTAAGATTTATCTTTTAAATTATTTTTTATTTGTTTTTCCAATAAATAAATAAATAATTATAAAATAAAAAATAAAATTGATGTTCATTCGTCCTGCATGCATGATTCGCTTCTCTTTGGTTTATATACATGTAAGTGAATTTGGTTTATTTATTATGTTTTAAAAATAAACCTTCCATTCCATTTGGATGATCTCTTAATTAGGATACGTAACAGATTAATTTTTTTTTTAAAAAATCATTAAACAAATTGAGGGAAATTTTAGAAGGGTTGAGAAAAATATAAGACGATCACGCTTCAGTGAGTGATTCGTAAATTTTGATTTGGTCTGAGTTACCCCTTGGCATTATAGTTGTGTTATTCTTCATGACATGGTACTCTCAGACATATAATAAGGAAAATATTTTATTGACTTCCCAAGACTGTACGAAATGAGTGAAGAAATAAGGACAAAAGAAAAATAAAAAAGAAAAGATGTAATAGATGGACTTACCCCGTCCAATATTAAAATGGAAAATTGGACATAGAGCACGTTCGTTTAGTTTTCTGATAGTGGACCATACCCCTTTCTATGATGGACCTTTTATCAATCACATAAACAGCAACTTTAACACTATCCTGGGAATTTTACAACCATCGAAGCCCATTTTGAATGTAGTGAAAATAGTTTCTAAATACATGTCTGAGAGCAAGTATAGAGACACTCAAATTAAGTTTTCAGATTGTCCTTCATAGATTATTTATAATTACTAAGTGTATCGTGATTTAATCATTCAAATCAAAAAAATGCATAATAGAATAAGAGAAATTTATAAAAAATTTAAACTAAAAAGTAATGAAAAGAAAAGAGCAAAGCAAAATGTTTTGCCAATAGAACTCTTTGAGAAGAAGTTAGGACATTCCACGTCACATTTTTATTTCTTTATGTTCATTTTTAGTTTTACTACAATTCAAGTTTATCTACAATCACAAATCACTTATACTAAAATTATTGACAGTCAATGATTATGCAATATTTCAATTTTTTTTTCTTAAGCTATTTACCTTTAACGGTCATACAAGGTAGAAAGAAAGAAAAAATGTAGAATTTATGAGCGTATTAATTCAATAATTAATTGAAAAATGAAAACTAAGTTTAATCTACTTAATTTCCTATTTTGTTTTACTTTGTTCTGTTAACTACATGTGACATAGTCATCTAATCACGCAATCAACTATGAGGTGTTTCGAATGGCCAAATCTCAACACAAGAAAACACATAAGCAAAGGCAAAATCCAATCCTAAAAAGAAACCAAGATTGTGATTTAACATAAAGATCTCATAAAATGTGTAAAAGATCCACTATAGTTCTAGTTATGGAAATAGTTACACATAACGAAATAGGAAAAGAGAATAATTGTAAAGAAAATCATGTTCATCCTCAAGGTAAAATGCAAAATGAGAAAAATCATCAAAGAGAAGAATTTGAAAAGAATCCTTATAACACCCTAGTTTTTATTGCAATTATTTTTTTAAAATAAAATAATTTTATGTTTGAAAACTATAGCATTTGCCACTCAAGCAAGATTGCTTGATTTGAAAAGAGATATCTCTAGAGTATTTTTGCTCAAGCGAGATTGGGCGATAGATTAATATCTCTCTAGAGTGTCAGGTCATGCTCAGGTGAACCTATCTCACTCAAGTAAGAATGGTCTCGCTTAAGTAAAAAAGTATCTCACTCATGCAAGATTATCAGCAAATGTGTAGAAATTTTTGTTTGATTTTTAAGCTCAGGCAAAAATGGTCTTGTTCAAGCAAGATTTCGCAAGTAAAAAGGGTATTTAAGTAACTTAATGTTTTAAAATCTTAGAATTCAAGGCAAGTAACCATTTCTTATATCCCTCTTTATTCTCTCACTTCTTTTCACAACTAAACAAACACCTTTTAAATTCAAAACCTCTATCGAATTCGAGTTTGAACATATTTTCCACTTGAGTTCAAGTAAACTCTTTAGAGCTTAATCTTCCAATCTCACTTCTACTTCATCATTCTCTTTCTTCTCAAAAGCTACTCCACTTTGTAATATTAGGAAGAACTTGGTCTTTCGGGTAATATCTTCCACAAAACCTTTCATAAATCATCTACTTGAGGTAAAAAGAGTTTTATCCCATTAATAAAACTATACGTATGTGATGTATAAAAATAAATAAACATATATATATATATGTGTGTGTGTGTGTGTGTGTGTGTGTGTGTATGTGTACATACATATGTGCTCTATTTTTGTAAGTGGTTACATGCTTCTATTTCATAAATCTAAATTTAAAAATGGATTCTTTGAATTAATGAACTAGAAGATATGTGTTTTATTCTTTACTAAATGGGTAGTATATGATTTATTAAAAATATGCGATTTGAGTTGAGTTCAGGGTGTCCAACCTTCGACATGACTTATTTAATATATGATAAAGAATAAATGATAGAAAATGTATTATCAATAAATATGATGATGAAAGGAATTAGTGTGGATAGTAATAGAGATACACTAAGAGTATGAAAATGGAGCCAATTTTAAAAATATAGGAGAAATACAGGGTGGTGATTCTATTTGTGATTCCGTGTTATATATGAGAGTGAAAGCATGATAGACCACACACTTATTTCCTGACTATTACTCTTGACTGTACTTTTGCTAAGGGGTCCAATATTGCATGCAATGATCTGTGTGCATGGGTTAATCGGTGAATATTTACCTATATGTACAAAACCTCATAGAATACATAAAAGGCAACAATTGACTCTGATCATAGTGCACAAAGAAGTACATATATGACAGAATGACATATTGCATTATGTATTATGATATTATTGATACATTTATTACTATGTTTGTTTTTGAAAAATTCTAAATTAATTATTTTGGTTATGTTTTAATGGTGAGGAGAAGACTCATCTTTACTTACATTTCAGCAAATAAGAATGATCACCTCTAATAGACTAATTAGGTTAACGGAGTGGAGTTTTGAGAGTAGACTAAACAATGTACTTAAGGAATGGCAGAGAGAGCCACTGTAAATTTGTTATAATTAGTGAGAATGGATCTGATGAAGTTATTATTGTAAAGATCATACATAGTAGGGCATAATGTTCCCTTTGATTACCCTACTAGTGGTAGGATCCACATACTCTTGTTTTGTACATATATAAAGGAATGGTTAGAACACCAGCTACAGTGAACTACGTGTATGCTTTTCATGACCATGACTACCTAGAAAGACTAATCAACTTTATTCGAGAGCAAAGACATAGAGGTCATAGCTGACATGAAGATCATTAAGATAATGACCTTACATCAAAAGAGATGGAAAGAATAGAGGGTTAATTTGATAAAGAATGATCCAAACTAGGATCATATTCTCAGGATTTTGGTGTGGGTATATATATATATATATATATATATATATATATATATATATATTGGCTTTGTAATTATTCAACTTAAGTTTTAATGTATTTTGGATTTGATTTGTAAATACTAAACTTATGTAAATGTGTAATACTAAATATGTTAATTGATTACTGTTATTAAAATTTCATTTTCTAGTTACATTACAATGGAAAACGTTTAATGTTTTAATGTCCATCATTCAAGTATTATTAAGTTTTTATGGATTGAACTGTGAGAAATGAAAATTTAAAAATTTACTAAGTTTTCTCGTATCACAAGTAAGAAAGATTTAATTTATAATTTAAATAAATTTATAAATTCCTTATAAATTATGAAAGAAACAATTTACAAATTAAAAGTGTCACAATCCTTGCTGCCAAAATACGCTTTAAATCATTCGCTTAAGCTCTGAAAGGTATTCTTCATTTTACTAGTGATCTCCACTCCTAAAACGTGTCCAAAACTCATAAAAAAGTTTCTTTCACAAGCTTTAGTCACTCCTTAAATAGGAGGCTCTTCCAAAACCTTGAAAAATCTCTTAAAATAACCATCAAATAGTGAAGCAAGAGCAATCATGCACACTCGTGCTAGTCCATAAAACACGCTCATATTGAATGCTAAACAAGACTGTGTAAGTGAGTTGTCAACACTTTTCCATCAAAATTTTCTTTGATTGTCTAATTTTTTTTTGTAATTTAGTGAAAATTAATTATTGTTAAAATGTAATAATTAACGAGAAAATTAATACGAAATATCTATCAAGTAAGGACTATGTATATGAAAATAAGTTATAAAATGTCCCAAAATATAGACTTATCACAACCACAAGCACTAGTGAAGGTATAAGTTGTAAATAGTTCAAAATTGCATTAATTTTAAACTAATTATTAGCCATATCAATTTAAATAAATTAGAATTAGATTATATTTGAAAAGTTAGACTTAACAAAAATTTACCTGAAAAAAGGTAAATTAAGAATAAATCAAGTAACATAATTATAAGGTAACTCAATTTTAGTAGAGATTAATTACTCAAAATCTTTTAAAATGATTTTAGACCATATAAATTAGGGATTACAATAATTTTAATAAGTTTTAAAAAATTAAATACAAGTTACAAAATTAGTTAAAAAGATCAAATACTCCTAAAATGATGACTAAATTTGGGCAAGGAAATGATCATGAAAAAAATATGAAATTTTTATGATAATTTATTGGGTAAAATAGAGTTATATTTGTTCAATAACCAGGCCAAAATATTAAATAAAAAATTCAAACCAAATTTCTAAAATTTAGCACTATGTGGTGTGAAAATGTTAGGCAAAATGGGCAAAACTTTCAATTTTGTGATCCTATCTTATCAAATACAAGTAGCATTGTTTTTGGCATGAAAAGAGACTCAATTTATAAATAATTATGCAAGGAATCAGCTGAAGTGAAGTGGGCCAATAGGATAGGAAGCTTGGTTTACCAAAACTCATAAAATTTACACTTAGAGTCAATGATCTAATCCCTAACCAAATGCCAACCAAACCAAACCAAATTTAGCCAACTAATAGTGTTACATGAGAAAAAAAGTATGAAATGAATAACAAAGATTTAAAGGCAAATTAAGCAAGTAAACTTAGGCAAACTAGATGACATCATAAGAGTCAAAATTTTCACATTGAGCATGATTTTTGGAGACTACATTTCACAAGGATAAAAGTTGAATTAGAGGGAGACTTCAAAAGAAAGGTTTCTTCCATTAAACTCCTCTAGTTATTTATAATACCCCTGCCTCATAAAAGTTAAGAAAAAAAATTAAAAAAACACCCATCAAAGATAAGGCCATTTTTATGTGGGAAATGAAGCACATTTTAAACACTTAGTCAAATATTCTAAATCCAGCTAAATCAAACTCTTTTAAGCACTTAACCACATCTAAAACATACCAAAAGAAAATCTCATAACTCATCCATGTCATCATCTATGCAAACAAAATAGGTAAAACCCCGTCCCAAAAAAAACACCAA